CCAAGTCTGCCTTTGGGGATGGTAAACTTCTATTAATAGAGAGGGAAGTAAAGACAATTTGTCAGGCTATGTGTCTGATGGGTATTTGGGGGCTCCCTTCTCCCCTGGGCATTTAGGCGGAAGGAAGAGCAGCGTGGATAAGAGCTGGTGCTCAGGAGTCCATCCTCAAGTCAAGTCCAAGCTCCACCTCTTGCAAACGGAGTGACATTCTGAGCCTCTGATTCCCCATCTATAATCATAAAATAGAGCCTACCTCAGAAGGTTTTTGCATGTCTGTTTTTTTCTTTGGAGACACTGTCTTGCTCTGTTGCCCAAGCTGGTATACAGTGGCATGAACATTGCTCACTGCAGCCCCGACCTCCTGGGCTCAATTGATCCTCCTGCCTCAGCCTCCTGAGTAGCTAGGACTACAGGTATGTACCCCGACACCTGGCTAATCTTTATATTTTTTGTAGAGACAGGGTTTCTCTATGTTGCCCGGGCTGGTCTCAAACACCTGGGCTCGAGCGATTCTCCCACCTCAGCCTCCCAAAGTGCTGGAATTACAAGCATGAGCCACCGCAACGGCCTCATACAATTTTAGTGGGAGCAAATGACCTAATGGATATAAAGTGCTTGGCACAGTCCCAAGCATATAGCGAAGCCTCAAGAAACGGAAACTGTTTTCACTGCCTGCCCTCCCACAAGAGGACCTGGAGAAGAGGGATCACCCCATGGGCTTCTTATTCTTGCTTCTACTCTTGCCCTTTGTTCCTCTCCCTCACCAGGTCTCTCCCCAGCCTTGGCCATGCCACCCGCAGAAATAAAGAATGCTCAACCCTGCCATCTAGAGGCCACATTGAGAATCTGCAGGCAGCTCCAGGCTTTCCTGCCGCCCAAGGTCAGAGAAGGCAAGCAGGAGGGCCAGGCTTGCTCAGCACTGCCTGGAGGGCATGGCCAGACCACTTCCCAGTGCCCCTTTCGAGTGAGTGCTCAAAGGGAAAGAAATGGTAATTGATGCTTATAAAACAGCCTAGTGCTTGAGGCATGAGCTATGGAGTCACACCCCCGGGGTTCAAATCCTTACTTTACCTGTGAGTGCAAGCAAATAATTTTACCTGTGTGTTCATCTGCAAAATGGAAGTGATAACAGTATCTACTTCACAAGACTGTTGGTAAGATTAAATTCAATAAAGTGTATGAAACATGGTGCCTGATACATAGTGAGTACTCAGTACTTATTACTACTTTTTAGTTTATTAACACAATTATCACCAGCTTAATAGAATGAAATTAAATCAAATATGTGAAGTAGTTGGCATAATGCTTAGTGTGTGGTAAAAGATCAATATGTGATGCTTTTAGCATTATTATTATTATTCACAGGAGAGTCTTGCTCTGTCGCCCAGGCCGCAGTGCAGGGGCGCAATCACAGCTCACCGTAACCTTGAACTCCTGGGCTCAAGTGATCCTCCTGCCCTAGCCTCCTGAGTAGCTAAGATTCGCACCACACCACCACCACACCCAACTTTTTTTTTTTTTTAGACGCGCATCTCAATCCTGCACACAGCATGTGGAGCGCGTAGTAGGCATGATTCTCTGCAATCACTAACAATCTCACTGTTCCCAGGTCAACCAATTCTCCTGCTCAGCCCTCCCAAGTAGCCGTGGATATATACGTTGTGGCACCCCCAACACCAGTTAACTTTTGTATTTTTAAGTAGGTAAATGGGGTCACCATGTTGGCCAGCTGTGTCATCAAACTCTGACCTCAAGTATCCACCTGCCTCGGCCTCCAAAGTGCTGGGATTACAGGCATGAGCCCCATGCCCCTTGCCCATCAACCCAACTTTTTAAAAAAATTTTGTTTAGAGATGGGTCTTGCTATTGTGTCCCAGGCTGTCTCAAATTTCTGGCTCAAGTGAATCCTCCCACCTCACGCTTTCCAAGTGCTGCATTACGGTGTGTCACCATGCCTGGCCCTGTTAAGCATGATATAATTATTATCATCCATTCATAATTTAATGGGAGAAACACTGTCAAAGAAAAACAAGATATGTGAATATATTAACTTATCTCTGATGTTTTAGAAATAGAAACTCATTATTAAAATTTCAGGCCCAGGTGCACATGGGTCCACACCTGTAAATCCCGCACTTGGGAGGGTGAGGGGGCTGAATCAACAAGTCAGGAGATCGGACCATCCCTGGCTAACTATGGTGCAAACCCTGTCCTCTACTAATCCTTCAAAATAAATTAGCCAGGCATGTGGGTGGGTGGCCTGTAGTCCCAGTACTGGGGGCACTGAGGCAGCGAGAAGCATGAACCCAGGAGGCAGACTTGCAGTGAGCCGACGAATTATACCACTGCACTCCAGCCGAGCAATAGAGCCAGACTCGTGTCTCAAAAAAAAAAAAAAAAATTTTTAGGGCCAGGTGGCAGTGGCCCTTCACGCCTGTAAATCTAACACTTTGGGAGGCTTGAGCGGCAGATACCTGAAGTCAGGAGTTCGGAAACAGCCTGGCAACCATGGTGAAACCACTGTCTCATACTAAAACTACCACAACATTAGCTGGATGTTGGTAGCACTTCTGTAGTCCACAGCTACTCGGAGGCAAGGCATGAGAATCATATGACGTCGGGTAGAGGTTGTAGTGAGCTGAGGGTTTGCACTGCAACTCCAAGCTGGGCAACAGGAGTGAGACTCTGTTTTCAAAAAAAAAAATTAAAATAAATAAATATATATAAGTTATTTGTGTACTATCACTAAATGAAATATTATTACTAAGAGAAACTAGGTGTAGAGTACGTGGGAGTTCTGTTTTTGCAACTTGCTGCAGACCTAAGAAAATTCCATCTGAACGAGTGGAAGTACCCTCACATTGGAATAGAGGCTACTGCAGGGGTGGGGCTGGTGTCCTAAGCAGTAGAGTGTGGTAGTCAGCTGGGAAGGCTCCGGGGTCAGGCTGCCAGGAGTTCCTGTCCTGGCCTTTGTGGGAGCCAATTCTGTCACTTCTCCTCTCTGAGCACCACGATATGGTCTGGCTATGTCCCCCACCAAATCTCATCTTGAATTCCCATGTGTTGTGGGAGGGGCCCTGTGGAGGTAACTGAATCATGGGGGCAGGTCTTTCCCGGGCTGTTCTCGTGATAGTGAGTAAGTCTCACGAGATCTGATGGTTTTAAAAGGGAGATTCCCTGCACAAGCTCTCTTCTCTTTTCTGCCACCATGTGAGACATGCCTTTCACCTTCCACCATGATTGTGAGGCCTCCACAGCCATGTGGAACTTAAGTCCATTAAACCTCTTTCATGTCTTTATCAGCAGTGTGAAAACAGACTAACACATGCCACTTCTCTTTTTTTTTTTTTTTTTTTTTTTTTTTTGAGACAGGGTCTTACTCTGTGGCCCAGGCTGGAGAGCAGTGGTACAGTCATAGCTCACTGTAGCTTCAACCTCCAGGTGCAAGTGATCCTCCTGCCTCAGCCTCCCAACTGGCTAAGACTACAGGCCTGCACCATCATGCCTGGCTATTTCAAAAGTTTTTTGTAGAGATGCAGTATTGTCATGTTGGCCAAGCTGGTCTCAAACTCCTAGACTCAAGCAATCCTCTCGCCTTGGTCTCCCAAATTGCTGGGATTACAGGCGTGAGCCACTGTGCCCGACCCTATTTCTCTTTTTTTCTATCATACAGTCAGGGAGCAATGAGGGCACTGGAAGCCTTGGGAACAACGTCCTGGGCCAGGGCAGCCCTCAGTAAAATGTTACCTAAGATTGCATCAACTGTATCATCACGTGGTCAAAGAAGAAATACTTCCTTTAGTAATAGAGGGACTGTGAAAGACTGTATTTACTCCATGAGAGAAGTCAGAATAGTGGTTATTCTGCAGGGAAAGGAATTACCCGGGAAGGACATGGGGGAGCTCAGGTGGGGTAGGAAGTTTCTCTCTTTCTTTTTTTTTTCCCCTGTATTATAAGTCATCAAGCAAGGGAGGAAGCTTCTGTACTGATTTGGTGGTATTTACACAGGCATACACACCAAGCTGTACATGGTAAATATCTGTGCACTTTACAGCGAGTTATAGTTCAATCTTTAAAAACCTAACCATCAATGATTACATCCTATTTGGAAGGAACTATGCTGGGATAACTGAATATTTTGGAAAAAAAGAATGGCCAGGTGCAGTGGCTCACACCTGTAATCCCAGCATTTTGGGAAGCTAAGGCTGGAGGATTGCTTTTGACACCAGGTGGTCACTCGTAAAAACCTTCTGTGGTACGAATTAAATGAATAAACTGAGTGGGCAACTTTTGAGCTGGGTTGACTGTCAGGTGGAAGTGTGAAGAGACAGGTGCTGGTGCCTGAGCACACGCAGGGGGACTACCAACCAAGACCCCGTGCGACAGCATTCCTTCCACCGGCAAGGGAACACTTGCCCCAGGCAGAGGTGCCTCGCTGGGATGGCCTGCTCTTCTGCAGGAAGCACCGCAGCTTGTTCTGAGTAGGCAGAGTCAGTGAAGGCTTCTTACTTCCAG